TATATATATATATATATATATATATATATATATATATATATATTAAAAAAATTGTTTTGTGACAACGTATATTTCTGAGCCTGACTTTTTTCCCCTTTCAAATTTATAGCATATGGTATTTTCTTATTTTATTTTTATAGTAGTATACAAGTAATGGTAATCAAAACTTGATTTGACAACCCTTATTAACTTAAAAATATTGAGCCAAACAATTTTCCACTAAAATATTTTTTTAAAAAAATACTTTTTTTGCATGAGTGAAAACGAGTATTTTCCTCTTTTATTAAGCAACTTCCAGACTATCACATGCTTCTGATGACCATAGTAAACAAATATGGTAGGGTATAAAAAATTAATTGTGTCCTCTATTATCTTTTGGCTAAAATATTCCCTTGCCATAAAGTCATTATAATTTTCAATCGGGGCTATAATAATTTTTAGAAAAATCCAAAGAACGAATATTTAATTGAAAAAACAATTCCATAATTATACTTAATATTATAAAATTGGCATTGTATAAAAATTACAATTCAAAATGCCTAGTAATTAATAACACTTGTTCACAACTTCAAATGGAGGGCAAATCCGCAAAGGTTCCCATTTCAAATAATCCAAGTAAAAAATTGATATATTTATTTTATTTTGAAGTAATCGTTAGTAAGAATAGTATTTTTGAATAAGTTGACTAATTGGAGTGCCTTTTTTTAGCTAATTGACAAACGACCAGGATATTTTTGAAACATCCTAGCAATATAACTATATTATCTTTTTATCTTCTTTGAAATCGCAAAACACATTTACATTATATGATTCTAATAATTCCTCTAAAATAATATCAAAGTAAATAATTGTTAGGTTTTATTTGCCCTAAATTTCTTACCATAAATAGATTTTCCTTTTAGGAAAACATTTTGGATTGACTAATCTTTTTCTTGTAAGAGAAAAGTTTAGGACTCTATAAATAGAGAGAGACATGTTCCTTCTAACTTAATCAACATTTACAATGTAGTCTTAAGGGCTTTGAGAGTTTTGATTAGGGAGAGAATTTGTGGGTCACAAGCTTGATATGATATCACTTGTGTGAACCTCCTATGTATTCCGAGATGAATTGGTTGAGGTTGTTTCTCTCTCTATTTTGTACTCTCCTATTCATAGTGGATTGCTCATCTCCTTTGTTGGACGTAGGTCGACTGACCGAACCAAGTTAAATTTTTGTGTCTTTTGATATATTTCTCGTTGTCTTCTTACTCGTGGTTTTTTGAGGTTTGTTTTGCTAGTTTCCGCGTTTACACCTACTTATTTTTGGTCCTAACAAGTGGCATCAGAGCCAAATTCAATGATGGAGTCAGGTTTAGTGGTTTGATAATCGATGATTGAACCAGGTTAGAAAGAGGTGTTCATCTTGGTGGGTGTAGTTCTAACCGCAACCTTTTTGACAGTAATGAAGATTTTGTTGGAGAAATTATTTCAAAGAGGTTATCTGTGTTGAGACATAAATTTTGCAAATGAGATTATGGAGAAGAGAAGCAAGTAGTTGAAGATTAAGTAAAGAAGGTGGACAAATTTATTTTGTTAGAAATTTAGGCCAAGGGGGAGATTTGTTAGGTTTTATTTGCCCTAAATTTCTTACCATAAATAGGTTTTCTTTTTAGGAAAAAGTTTTGGATTGACTAATTCTTTTCTTGTAGGAAAAAAGTTTAGGATTCTATAAATAGAGACATGTTCCTTCTAACTTAATCAACATTCACAATGTAGTTTTAAGGGCTTTGAGAGTTCTGATTAGGGGGGTAATTTGTGAGTTACAAGCTTGATATATTATCACTTGTGTGAACCTCCTATGTATTCCGAGTGAATTGGTTGAGGTTGTTTCTTTCTGTATTTTGTACTCTCATATTTATAGTGGATTGCTCATTTTCTTTGTGGACGTAGGTCGATTCACCGAACCACGTTAAATTTTTGTGTTTTTTGATATATTTCTCGTTGTCTTCTTACTCATGGTTTTTTGAGGTTTGCTTTGCTAGCTTTCGCGTTTACACCTGCTTATATTCGGTTTTAATAATAATAATATAATGTTATAAATTATTGTTCATATACGAGAAACGAGTCCTAAACTATCTTTTAAAACACTAATCATGAATGCACGGTACCTGATTCGTGAATAGTTAGGATATTTTACCTTCTCAAATTGTTCCTTTCTTTACATCGAACTTAAACAAAGTACAAATTTCAGAATTTATACACATTTAATTCAGATTATGAGAGGAGAATTAAATTTTAGCAAGACAAAAATATTATAGATTTTTCCAGGATAAAGAGGTTGATTTAATTCAGTATTATTATTTCTCACAAAATGAAAAATGTCGAAGGGATTATTATTATTCCTTTCATCACAATTTTATAATATTATTTGATCGATTTGATGTGAAGTGTAGAAAACATCAAATAATTTTTTAAATTTGCAATTTCTAATCAACATTTAATGTAAAAATAATATATTTTTAAATATACTAATTATTTTAAAAAATTATATCATCTAAATTATTTATTGCTAATTGTATATAAAAAATATATTCTTCTTTCTTAAAATAACTAAAAATATTTAAAATAATCATAATATAAATAAGACATAGGAAATAATAATTTAATAATTTAAATATGTCATTTCCTTCGATTATAAACAATAGATATTTATTAGTTGAAGGTTATTAAAATTGACGTACAGTATATTTGAAATGATCTCATGTAAAATAATTCAAGTAATTGTTTTTCTTTTCAAAGTTTACGAAACCACATTTCTAAGTTTCACCGACAGCGAGTGTTATGACCTGACATGGGAAAAATCAATAATTTTTTCTATTATATTTAAAAATTTATATAAGATATTTTTTTTTATTCGGATATTATTTAGTAAAAGAGATTCTAATGAAGAACTCATCAATTAAACTTTTTAACTATTTATTTGTTCATGTATTTTGGCTTGTCATTTGAGGTCGTTCGTGATTTATATTAAAATTTGATTAAATTTGGGTTCGCTTTAAAAAGTATCATATTAGGGACTAGTGTGCTTCCTAATAAATACGACTTCAAGCACAAGAAGCTTAAATATGAGAGCTCTAATTAAGAATGACGGAGTATTCAAGACTCCACGATATTGCAATATAAAATTTGAACCGAATCAACCCAATTCTATCTAAATCTTTTTTAACTTTTTGATATTTATGCTTATCCTAAAAATCACATAAAATATAAAAATAGAGTGCATGCACTTACAATAATTCTAAAATATTTAAAATTACATTCCTAACAACTTATAATTAGGATACAAAGTATAAAGGACAACTATATTGTATCCCTATTATAAGTTATACAATAATATTAATTTATCATTACATATTCTTTAATACCAACTAAGGATATGTCATAGTAATAAGTACTCCTTAATTAGGATTAAGGAGAGAGGTTGAGTTTGACACACCCATTGTATGAATCTGTAAATTTAAATTCAGTTGGACTCTAATATAAATATCAAACGTCGACAAAAATAAAAATTCTTTAATTAAGTAGATTCCATAAGTCAATATCAGTTGAAAAGTCATCCCAATTATTAGTTGGTCCTTGTTGCATGGAGTTGTCTTCACCATTAACTAACGGTGGTGATATTTCCTCATGTAACAACATTGTTGGTGTTTTTCCAAAATTTGTATTAGCTGTTTCTTCTTCAATTTCAATGCAATTTTCCAGTAAATTTGTCCACCATTCAACTCCATCGTCTATCGACGATGTATTTTCTCCTATTGGCTTCTCACAAATATTTACAACGATTTCGTTGCAACGTTTGTCATCTTTGTCTAATGTGTTTGTGATCATACTTTTGTTGTTGCACCAATGAGAATCATTCTTCTTAACGTTTGAGAAGTTCCGAGGTTGAGGTCTTATTATTTCATTCTTAGTAACCGCGATGCTCTTATGCTTAATCTGTAGACGAGGATGAGAACGAGGACGAGAATGAGGATGTAGATGAGGAGCAATAATACTTAACTTCTTGTGAAAGTGTGTATTCCAATAGTTCTTCACATCGTTTGCTGTCCTTCCTGGAAGTCTACCAGCAATAAGTGACCACCTATACAAAATAACTAACTTTTAAATGAAATAATTACACATATGTTTAGGTTTTTTTTTCTCAGGTACCTCAATTACGTCATTTTTCAATTGAATCATTGAACCACCCATAATTTGTTTTTTTAAAACACTTTTGATCAGCTTTTCTATTGTAAATGTCTTCGATTGTGTTTGAGTTGTAATAATTTTGATAGAAGGAATGAAGACAAACCGTGCTAGTCTCATTTGTTTTCTAATGTGTTCAAAATGACTTCAGTAAAACACAATTATTCTCAAACATTTTCACTATCAATTGGACTATGATTTGTGAAACAATACCCTCACAAATCTTGATCCACATCAGACAACGATGATTGTTTAAATGGAACAAATTATGGGAGTTCAATGATTATACAGAAAAATGACGTAATTGAAATATCTGAGGAAAAAAATCCAACAAATTTAAAAATCTACTTATATATTTGACCAATACAATATAAAAAAAAATATAACATCAAAAACTTTTGAATGAAATAATTGCAGCATAGACTTACCTATTGCCTAAGAGTTTGTGAAGTCTCAAGATGAGATCCACTTCATCTGGAGCAAAGTCACCTCTCTTGATATGTGGCCTTAGATAGTTTAGCCACCTTAGTCTGCAACTCTTTCGACATCGATTTAAACCTATACATGTTCACATAACATTCAAAATTAATAAATAAATATAAAATATTACAAAAATTTATGATTTAAAACAAATCATAAAACTATAAATTATGTTATTAGAAAGTAAAATCAAAACTTAGAATTTAGTAAATCATTTATAAATATATAAAATACATTATTTTTTAAAACAAATTAGAAAAAGTACAAAAGTAATACCAGCTCTAGCAGGAACAAGATGCCACTTTCCTTCACCATATTTTTGAATGCAATCTCTTAAAAGAGAATCTTCTTGTTCAGTCCATGAACCTTTCCTAACTCCCAACGATGCACACATAGGAGTATTCATTATTTTTTCTATAATATATAGTTTTAATACATATATTTTAATTATAATACTACACCATTCCTGTCTCTATATATACAAAAAGTTAAACCCTTCGACATACGTGGAAGAACTTGTAACCACTAAGGGAGCTTTCCACAAAATGACACTTGTAATAAATTGCACTTTTTTTTAATCAAAAAGATCCAAATTAGCCCATGTCCCCCTATTAGCTATTCTTCAACCCTTGGGACACTCTCTTTTTATTTCCGTACTGATAAATTAAATTGTATAGCATATTATAAGATTTATTTAAAATAGCATTTTATTTATATTTGATATTCAAATTTAATATTATTAATTAAAAATGAAATAGTATTACCACTATTTCATAACACATATTTGGTTTCTCTTTCATTTTCATCATTTTAAGTAAGTTTTAATTTTGTTTTCTTTTAGATTTTATTTTCTCATAACTTCTTTATTTGACGTAACTATATTTAATTGGTGTTTCATTTCATCAATTGAGAATCATGTTTATTAGTTATCAGCCACGGAAACATATATCGTAAAGATAAGATAGATTAGGTGATTTTGTGAGACAATTATATTATCATTTAGGGGGCGTTTGGTAGTCTGTATTAAAAGAAATAATTCTTGTATTAGATGTGATATAATTTAATATTGCGTTTGGTAGGAATGTCAGCCTATGTATAACTAATCCATGAATTAGTTAATACATCCTACATGGTATTATGTGATGTATTACTAATACCTTTCATTTGGAGGTATTAACTCTAATACCATGAGACTATTCTAGGTAAAGACAAAAATACCCTTCAAATCCTTTTAATATTTTATTTATTTTTTTGATTTTATATTTTATATCTTATATTTATACTAATAAAGTTATTTAAATAAATTAGCTTATAAATTTTATTATTTAGATATAGTTTTTTGTTTCTAAAATAAAAATTACTTAATTTATTTATTATTAATACAAAATATTATAATTCGACTAATATGTTAATGTTGATGTATGAATTTAAGAACAAGTCATAAGTAAAATATTGTCTCTTAATGAAAGTTCGTTAAACATTACACAAGTAGTCTAAAACAAGACTCTGTGTATATACACACACATCTCGAGTATAAAAATAGTTTAATTTATTTTTCTATATTTATTTTATATTTTTATTTTATTTTATGATAAAGAGTTTTTTAAAATCTATTGATACAAAACAAAGTTCAATAAATTTTCTCTATAATCATTATGGTTGTGTGACCTTGAGTTATTAACTCTAATTTATTAAGATAACAATTATTTACTCTCAAATAATTTAAGTGAGAAAACAGTGAACATGACAATAAAAATTTTATTCTCCTAATTAGTTAAAAATGTCATAAAAAATAATATTCTCCGTTAATTATCTACTTTGTCTCAATTACATGAAATATAAAATTTCATAATAACTCTACGGTATCATTGGAAAGTTTTTTTTTAAAACTTTTAAATCACACATAAAATTAGATAAGAAACAATGAATCAAACACTTGATAAAAATAATTTCTATATTACTAATCCCTGCATTATTCATTTTTGTACCAAACGATCACTTGGTGTCTACTTCATATATATATATATATATATATATATATATAAGAGATAATAGGTAGATTCATGATTACAAGATGATGGGGCCATTATCAAAAATAAATACACGTTAGTCGAAGCTATGTCACGTCACATTTATTTATTTCAAAATTTTTATTTAAACACATGTAGAATATTCGGCATATTAACCATTAGACACATAGGTTTGTTTTACCGTGAACAAATGAGCAATTTGTAAAATATAAGCATCGGATATTATATTTTATAAACCTTACTTAAAAATAGGACAATTTAATATTATTACAAAAGCAAGTTTTTAATTTAAAATAATTAATTTTATTTTTAAATTTCAATATAACATTATGATGATATATGTGCAACCAAACAAGGCACTTATAATTAGACTGGTGACAAACATGTGTGTCATCGTAAATTCATAATTACTAAATTGGTAAGATAATAATTATTACGTTTACACCAATTACAATTATCTGACCTTTCCAAACAGACCCTTGATGTAATCGTTTCATCATTGGTGGAAAAGGTCGTAAGGGAGTAGACTTTTCTTTCTTTGGACACCATAAAACACAAAACCATATATTCCTTCTATATCCATATTAAAAATGAATTTTTAGGGTATGATATATACTTAGGAAAACAAAGTAATGTTATTTTTTGCTGTTTCTCTTTTGAAATATTTTCTTTGAAAATATAATATAGCGAAGAATTTCACTAAATAATGAGTAAGAAAAAAAAATTTCTTACGTTTCACTTAATATAGACTAAAGGAAGTAACACAAAGACGTTGCAAATATATAATAACATAAGTAACCTAAAAATCACATGAACAATATCATAGTGCATATGCACTTATTGATTGGAACTTGAATCTAACTCAACTCCAGAAATTAGTTCGTGAAGATAAATTTATCCAAGTCCGTAAAAATAAGTTACCACCGGTCCATTCCCTAATGAATGTATGTGGATGGTAACCCATTCTAACAACATTAATTACTTCCCTAACAACTTGTAGTTGGGACACAAATTATAAAGAACAAATGTATCCCTAATACAAGTTTACAATAACATATCTTTTAATCAAGTAGATTCCATAAGTCAATTTCAGCAGAAAAATCATCATTTTGTACTCCTTGTTGCATGGGTGGTAAATTAAGAGAAAATTCACCCCAATTTTCATGACTTATTTGTCCTTGTTGCATGGAGTTACCTTCACCAATATTTAATGGTGGTGATATTTCTTCATGTAACAAACTTGTTAGTGTTTTTTCATAATTAATTACAACCTCTTCATCTTCTTCAATATCGTCATTGCAATTTTCCAGTAAATTTATCCACCATGGATCTACGTTGTCCATCGATGCATCTGGAGTTTGTTTCTCACTTATTATTTCCTTGCAATGTTCCTCCTCGTCCAAAATTACATTATTGTTTGTAACATTCTTCATTGTGCTTGAGAAATACTTGCGTCGTTGAGGTTTTATAATTTCAATCTTAGTACTAATTTCTCCACACTTATTGTTAATCTTTTCGCGAGGAACAATTTTAGTAGTATTTAACTTCCTTAGAAGATTAGTGTTCCAATAGTTTTTCACATCGTTAGCTGTCCTTCCGGGAAGTCTACCAGCAATAAGTGACCATCTACGTAAAATAACGTAACATTTAGATGAAATAGTCACACGTATATATAATATATACTAATCAAATTTTGTCAAAACATAAACTTGCATGCCTGTTGCCTAAGAGCTTATGAAGCCTCAAAATGAGATCCACTTCATCTTGTTCAAAGTCACCTCTCTTGATATGTGGCCTTAGATAATTCAGCCACCTCAATCTACAACTTTTCCGACATCTATTCAGACCTGCACGTACATTTTCAGATGATATTCGTAATAACGTCAAATAAAATGAGACAGAAAGACAAATAAAAATAACGTGATAGTTAATTTAATAGTTACCAGCTCTTATGGGAACAAGATGCCATTTTCCTTCACCATACTTATCAATACATTTTCTTAGAAGAAAATCTTCTTCATCAGTCCATGAACCTTTTCTCACTCCCAATGAAGACATAGATGTACTGTTCATAATAATTTGATAATATATTATACTACTTTTTTATTGTCTATATATACTTATACACGTGCCTAAAAGGTGTATTAAATTGTAACTACCAACTTGTAGAGAGCCTTCTACAAATTATAAACGACAAATGTTATAAAAGCCAAATTGAACAATCATTTTCAACACACAAATCCAAATTTCCCAATGTACCTATCCTGCCAGCCTCGATTGGGAAACCCATCTTTCATTTCAATCAAAAAAAAATTTTGATTTTTCGAAATAATTTTTAATTTTTTTCTCCTATTACTTTTTTCTCTATAATGTGACGATATTTAACTGAGCATACATGACAGATCAAGTATTTTCAAATAACCAAAAATATAACTATATATTAAAAAAATAAATACAAGTATTTCCTTTTTTTAAAAAAAAGAAAAAGTTAACTTGTACTATTTTTTAAGTTTTAGATGTCAAGTACAACTAAAATTTGAATGTTAGTTATAACTATCATTAATCGTGAGAGGGGACCAATATTTAAAAGGATTTTTTCGAATATGACCATAGTTTGAGCTTAATAAGAGATTTAGAGATATAGTATTGTTTAATTACGATTTATAGCTACATATTAGAAAAAGTAAAGAGTCAAGCGAAATTGAAATAGAGAGTAGAGACACGAACAAAATTGGTTTGTATCAAGGAATACAATTATATTAAGTGTATATGTTCCTTGTGGGTTCACTTTGTATTAAGTGTATGAACGAATTATACAATTGTATCAACTGTATATGTTCCTTATGTATTCACTCTATATCAACTGACTATAAATCAATTCGATTTTCCTAAAAAAAGTTAAACAATATTGCTCTTTTCATTGCAGTGATTTTGAACCACGAATTTAACATGGTATCAGAATCAAATTTGGAAAAATTAAAAACTGTTTTTCATTCCAGTGATTTTGACTATTTATACTAAGGATTAAACTATTTTCTAAGTTAAAAAAGAGACTAATTATTTACACTTACGCCACTACTCAAAACTAATTAATTTTTGTCTAATCTAATCAGCATTAAATAATCTCACCGACAAGTGTTGTGGTTGAATAGTAAATACTCCTTCATCTATAATTAGAGATATCGAATTTGAATCTCCTTGAATACGGAGTAGCCTTTTGTTACCGTAGATCATCGCAATTGAATGTAACATTTTTTTTCTTTGGTTGAAAGATACTAGTCTTCAAGCAAAACATGGCAATTATGAATCATGCTTGATATATAGTTGTCAATGACGAAACATCTATTCAAGGAAATATACAAGTTGAATCTTAACGTGTTTTATCCTTAATACTTATTATCTTTTAAAATAAGTGATGTTTTTAGTTAGTCACTTTTTTATTTTTCTAAAAATAATAATAATATCACACCAACGAACTTAGAAAAATCGATGAACGTTTTTATGTAAAAGTACATGAAAATTATATTGTAAAAAAAGACTCAAAATATTAAAGAAAATCAATGCAATCTCTCAATTTTATTTTTCAAAAATCGATAGACTGTAAATTTTTGAAGTGAGAAATTACAGTTGGAATATATATATATATATATATATATATAGACAATGTTGAGCACGTACGAT